ACAATAACAATTGATTTAGTGAATATATTAAGATGATTAAAATGTTTTTTGTCATAATAATTAAAGGTCATAGAGGTGTACAAAAATAAAACATAAGTAAAGGGGGAATGCAGTAATAATAATAATAATAATAATAATAATAATAATAATAATAATAATAATTGGATAATCAAAATGCTTAAGGCCAAGGTAACGATAACGATAAGACGTACTTCTTTTGTACGCATAGTTCTGGTTTAAGCTCCTGGGTGGTAAGAGCTTCGGCTATTTTTAAGTGTTGGATACGAAGAAATCTGGGTAGATTTGAACGAATCATATAAACAACCTTAAAATCAAATTGTGGATCTGTAGAATGGTTATGGTCGATTAGGTGTTCAAGTATAGAACTCCTAACTGCTTTCCTTTCACCCTTATAGAACCAAGCTGGGATATGTTCCCGTATCCGAGTTGAAAGCTAGCGCTGGCTACGGCCAATGTACCTTGCGCCACAAGAGCAGGTGAACTGGTAGATGCACATGGAGGCGACCAGACGCGGAAGCTTGCCTTTTATGGACACAGAAATTAAGTTCCTACTCGTGAAGGTTATTCGCAATTTAGCTGCATTAAATGTTCTTCTAGTAGTTGTTGTTAGACGATTTTTGATTACGTCTGATGTTCGATCACCTCTAAATTCCAGAATTATATAAAGGTTTTTCTTCGGAACGGAACAGCTAGAATTCTTGTCGTGACTACGTCTATTCATATTCTTAATTATTTTGATTACCCTATTATTATTATTATTACTATTATTATTATGGTTATTATTATTACTGCATTCTCCCCTTTACTTATGTCTTATATTCTCATTGTTTTATTCGCAATTACTCATCATATCACCTTATTTATTATTTTTGTACACCTCTATGACAAAAAACATTTTAATCATCTTAATATATTCACTAAATCAATTGTTATTGTTATTATTCATATTACGTAATCTAGTATTATAACCTTTTTTATTAACTCTGTTCACATTTCCTCACGGAATTAGTACTTTTACAAAAACAAAAAAAATTTTCATATATATACGATTGTACAGCTTGATAATAAATTCGTTGAAAAGAGATCCCTTCGCTGAAATTCGTATTTTAATTTTGATGTTTAAATGGGAATTATTTGTTAATTATAGTTAGCCAATTAAAAAATTTACTCAACTCACCCACCACACAATCACCAAAACCATGACGAATCACATAGTAAACTTGAATAAAAATTAACCTTTTCTATTCTGTTAACGCATGTGTATAAAAAATTAGTGGTCAAGGCATGAATAATTGTGATCGATGTATAATGAAAAATAGACGCCTATTTCTAAAGGGTGTGAATATGTAGAGTGAAACTACAGAAAACACGTATTTAAAACAACAATAGGTTAATATATTAAATTACAATAAAAATGTTTGTGTAGTAAAATGTACTTTTTTAAAGTAATACAATAAGACGAATTTTATTAGAACCATATGTGATATACCAATGCAATGCATTTCGAACAATAACATAATACTTCAAAATGATTGAATATATGGTATTGACCAACGTTATAATGTCTATTATTTTGTGCGGGTTGAATTTTATTGATGAGATTGTAATTCAACCACTCATCTAGGTTACTAAATATACATGACGAGTCTAAAATAAGATGAAACGTGCGTCCTGAATTCTACTGTTATTCTCATTCCGTCTGTTCTTTATCAGCCATACAGCTTGCTTGGGATATAAGATTGTTGGAGGTTATGAACAGGAAATTTTCAGCATGGTTCATTAGTTACTACAAAATAGTCAATTTCCGTGAATACTTCAGTCCTGAGGAATATCAATGGCAAGTTGAAAAGTTCAATACTTGTTCTCTTGATGGTGACATTAGCTAGTGGGTTTGTAGAGGCTAATTTCCTCTGTATCTGACTCCAATAAATGATATCCCGCTAACTGAGTATTTAACGCTGGCTAAATCTCCTAGTAGAGTTATGGATTTACTCGAGACTATTCAGAAGCCTGAACACCATTTATAGAGATAGTTTATTAATAATTAATTTAAAATGCTGCTCAGATATTCAAACTTGGACTTCTCTCTCTAGTTAGCGGGGCTGGGACGCGTCAGAATAGCTAGCTTATTGGTCTTTGGTCACAGAGTCTTTGTTTCGTTCTAAGACTAGATGAACTCGTAATCTGTCAAAGTTGAAGTGGTTTGTCATCTATAGTGTCATTAGAACACATCCACCTAATCCTAAAGGATAAAGAGTGGATCGATTTTTTCTTCCTATTCAATAGGACCTAGTTATACTGACCATTTCAATCCGGTTTTCTATATATAGATCTCTGTAAAGAACCATCTGACCTTCTTTTCAATCGGACATAAAAAGTGAGATTCCTCGCTTGCCTATACTTACGATGTGAATTGAATTTAGTGATGACAACTATTGAATCGATTCAAAATCTCATTGAGGTTCATGTCTTCACGAATAATGAAAGTTTCATCCTTATATCTTTGATATAACTGAAATCTCTCAATTATTGGTTGAAGTACCGTATTTCCCAGATCCTCCATGAAACAACCAGCCAAGAGTGGACCCACTAGTGAACCCATTGCAACTTCATCAGCTTCTCCGTAGAAATCAATTATTAAGTCTGAATTGCAGCTTGAGTGTACATAGTAGAAGTAGCTCTTTTAGATAATGTTTTGGGATACAAATGTCAAGGTTGTTATTTTCAATATAGTTACGTAAAAAACATACGGTTTCTGTAGGTGGAACATTTGTAAAGAGAGAAGCGACATCCAATGAGATCATTTTCCTACCATTTATGGGTTTTCGAATTGAGTTGACAAAATCAAAGGAATCAAGCGAGTTGTATCTATTGACGTTATTTCTGACGGGTTTTAACATTTTAGCTAACCATTTAGTAATCAAATGATATGGAGAGTTATTCATATAAAGTATAGGACAAAGATTGACATCCTTCTTATGAACTTTTGGGAGCCCGCATAATCTCAGTATAGCGGAACCTCGTGATGATCATAGAGATCATTATTGATAATAAACTCATCTTCCTTGGGATTTTAGTTAATATCTGCTCCGTTTTCTCAGTTACATCTTTCTGGATGGCTTCTTTAGAGAATTTGACAGGATCAGATAATATCGAGGGTAGTTTGGTGACATAGTCATGGCGATCCATAAAGACAATTCCTGAATCCTTATCTGGGCGACACAACACTAAATCCTGATTTCTTAGATCAAATAATTGAGACTTATGTTCTTTTGTGAGTAATCGTTGAGTTGTAGGTATTGTGTTTACTTATTGATTACAACAGTCTACAAGAGTTGTTTTGAATAGCTCATAATCTTCATTAGATACTAGAATAAGGGCACTTGTCTGACGAATGAGGCTTTCAAACAGGATTTTAGCGTTGAGTTCATTAATGTTATTTGATGTACTACAAAATTGACAAACAAGAGATAATGCTTGTAGCTGAATAGTCGATAACTTAACGCTAGAGTAACTGAATACATGCTTTTCTGGTATTTTTACCGACTTTAAACTTTTCATTAATTTCAAGTTCATGTCTTTTGTACGATTTCTAGCAACCGTATCAATGTAATCCTTAAATTTGAAACGTTTATCTGACAAACCATATAATGTATGCGTTCTTAATGAAATATTTCGTTCCATTCCCGCTATTCTTGACTTCGTTTCATCTATATAATTCAAAGTGAGACGTTTCAAAGAACGATGATTTGAATGGATGTGGTTTCGGTGTAATGTTTTCAAAAATGGTATCGGATACTCACATCTGTCTGTACAACTTTAAGAAAAAGGTTCTGGCATTCGTCATAACAAGCTTGACAGAAAAACGACGAAACCTATTGAGTTCCTTTACTGTCAAAGGATGCTTAAAACTCTTCAGATAATTAAAATAACCCATTGTGTCAGTGAATAAAAATAAAGAGAATTCAGAGGACGTTTTATTTTCGACGAGGATGATTGATACAAAACCAGAAGAACCTCTGACTTATGTTGATTAAAAAAACGTGGTGGCCTATCCGACTGTTCGGTTGGTCGGTAATGAACTAAATTTGGGAAATTCGTCTGTGCACTCATTCCTAGCAAAATATGAAACAAAACAGCTAAAGAACTGGATCCAAGAGGTTTATCACAGATATCTTAAATAATGAGAATGGGAGGAAACAAGCACATTGTGCAGTAAACGGAAAAACATCTAGTTGCCACAAATTCTGTAAATAAAACACCAAATTCCTTATAACCTAAATTTCAAGTTGTAAATGAATTCGATTAAAATTTTATATATAAGGAATGATGAGGATTTCAAATAAGAAACTCGTTTGCTGTGTTTGTTCAATATCAAACTAAAAATAAAGTATATTCGTACGTTACGACTATTTGCATAGATAGTTCTGAAGCATTACTTACTAATGTTGTGACCGTTGAGTAAAGAATGCTGAGGTTGGCAAATTGGTTGACAAGATTATCAATCTTCATCTATTAAATTGGTTGGCACACAATTAAATATCCCAACCACTGATTACCTTGATTCACGAAGTTGACTAGTTTAGGTTGAAAGAAAGCTAGGAGCAACCATACCAAAGCTTGACATTAGACTATAAAGTTATCAACTGTTGAACTGAGATATACTGATAGGCACAGATTACCTGATTGGGGTCCGTGAGATTATTATGATTAACGGTTTGAGACGTCAGGTGAGATCCCTTAGCATAGATTGCAGTGATAGAGATGTATCTAGTCTTGGTCTTTCCTTTAAATAATTCTATACTATTTTATCCTAATAGCGTATCCTTTATTCACGAACAATATTATGTTTCCTACTATCAGCGATAATTTTACTACGACTAACACTGATATATTAGACTTGACATTGCCTGTGACTGAGGTCCGAATTCCTCACCGCATAAAATATTGTTTGCTTTTCTATTAAAAAAGGCAATATATCTGAACAATACAGAACGTATTTGGATACACAAAAAAGAGCAAAAAGATACACGAAGTAATCATCATCACCATCATAAAGCCATATGTCATCAACAGGTGTTACAATATGATAGGGGAGTTAGCAGTGCGAATCCAATTACGAAACACACTAACACACACCCACAGACAAATAAACAAGGAGATAGGATAATCGGTTTATTCACTGTGCAAAACAACAATATTATCCTTACTATTTCGACGACAAGAAACATTAAATGCCAATCTTCGAATTGTAATGCAGAAAATGGAAGATGATTATCGAAAACATTATTTATTCTTGTTGTACTGTAGATGGTATATATATATATATATATAAGAGGTGATTATTATTATTAATGACTTTATTCAACAATGATGAATAGTGATGTGAAATGAGTAGGCAGTAGGCAAGGTGTAGTAAGTCAACAAGACGACAGCAGTGCAAATCAGAAGAGCATGTAAAAGATCATAATATGAACGACAACAACAACCACATAGAACGGATTATTAGTTTAACATAACATTGTAATGACTAGAAAAATCACTGCTTGCATGCACATACATACACGTACATAAAAAAGGAGCGAATAGAATATGATTGTCATGGTCTGAATGTATATAGTTACGCAATCCATATATATTATAAAACAACTAACCATATAATCAAAGTACGATGGAAGATGATTAGTTTTAAGTAGTTCATGAGTAGCAATAATAATAGTCAGGTCAATCAACAGTAAATAGATACGTTTCATATTCATAAATCAGCATCACTATACAAATAATAATAATTACGATTTGACTACTTGAATATATTGGATTGTATTCTTTTCGTTGAAGACAACAATATGGTATTGTTTCCGCGTATTATTAATTATGAATAAAAAACAGAAATAGTTTTACTCATTCATTGATTTATTCATTTTATAATCCAAGAGTATATGAAGAATGAGTGCATAGAACAATTGAAATATTCCATCAAAAATACATATAAACACCTAAATGAAAGTTTGAGAGAAAAAAGCTTAGTTAGTAATTCCTTTTATATATATATGATTTAATATAGCATTGTATGCTTCACATCGTGGTTAGTAGTGATTAGGGAATCAGTCACTTGATTAGTGGCGACAGGAAGAAATATAAAGACATGAATAAGATGATCATGTAAGCTATTATAGGTATGTGGTCAGTTCTGGTTTCCCGATTGCCTACAAGGTGGGTTTCATTCTATTATGAACCACTCATTCAGAAGGTAGTAACTGTGCCATGCAAACCTAGGCGAATTTGTTCTAACTTTTGACCAAATACAAATAATTTAGACACCATGTGACTAACGAATCATTTACCCCCCACGTCCTTGCTAAATCTGTGCTTGTAAATTTTTATGTGTTTCGTCTAAGCACAAGTCTGTTTATTAGCTTACTTTATTCGTTGTCCAAGCTGATTTTACTGTATCAAACTGAATTCTCTAGATTCAGACATGAACTCAGTTCACCAGTTAGCTGTGGTAATTTTATAGGTATATAACCTGCTTAGCTGATTTATAAGTTTATTTCTAAGGGCGAAATTATATATATATATATATATATATATATATATATATATATATATATATATAGAGAGAGAGAGAGAGAGAGAGAGAGAGTTCGCGCGTAGAACCCAAGGCCCTGGGTTCGATCCCCTACGGTGTGGTATAAATACACACTATACTGAGCGACCCCATAATACAACGAAACAGTGGTCCAATGCTTCCAGAGGTCTTCAGTAGCTATTTAACTTAGGTCAACTGGTGATTTCAACATCTGACGACCTCTAAAAGCCCTACATTGATTTTTATTTGGGCATCTATTTGTGTAAATTGTCTCATTATTCCTTGATAATAGCTCGATAATCACTAACTGAACAAGTGTCTAGACACTGAGCTCATAATAATAATAATAATACCAAACGATACTTACCGGTTCAGTATGAAATCGTATTCTTGTTACACACAAAAGCAAAGAAACAAAATTTTTGCTTTTACATGACTGTAGTAAATTCTATTCATAAAGGAGAAAATGGAAAAATGAGACGTAGGAAGTAATACACAAGACGGAACAAGTGTGGATGATCAGGCATAAAGCTAAGGCAACATTATATATATATATATGCCTGATCATCCACACTTGTTCCGTCTTGTGTATTACTTCCTACGTCTCATTTTTCCATTTTCTCCTTTATGAATAGAATTTACTACAGTCACGTAAAAGCAAAAATTTAACATAGAGATAGTAGTATTCAATAACTGCTTTTCGTTAATATATATGATACAACTAGCTACTCACATTTATTCATTCTTCGATCAATCAATTCATTCATTGATTCATCTAATTATTCAGTGACAATTCTATTCCTAACTGTCTCTTTATCACATTCATTATCTAACTCACCCTCGCCTCAATTAAATTATATTATTGTTGTTCATTACGTAATTGGGTTTTTGTTTTTCCTCAGTTGATAAGATTATTTTTCAGTTTACTACTGCTACAACTATATTTCTTATCGGCTTTTCCGTTTACATATGCCTTATTTGGTAATACTTTCTTTTTTATATATTCTTGGTTATTTCTCCTTTTTTAGTGTGTCGACGTTTCTGTTGTATTCACATATCTTCATGATTGTTGTTATTATCACACCATGAAAAAGTATTATATCATTGTGCATTTTACATGTAAATGCTTGTATGTACGTGTATGTGTGCTTGTTAGTAAAAAGTGTGACACCGCATAACTTATGTACTAACAAGCATACATAAGTATAGACAAGGATTTACGTATTAAATACACAATAATATTATACTTCATCCTGGTGATAGTGGTAACAATCATGAAGATATATGAATACAACAGAAACGTCGACACACTAAAAAAGGAGAAATAACCAAGAATATATAAAAAAGAAAGTATTACCAAATAAGGCATATGTAAACGGAAAAGCCGATAAGAAATATAGTTGTAGCAGTAGTAAACTGAAAAATAATCTTATCAACTGAGGAAAAACAAAAACCCAATTACGTAATGAACAACAATAATATAATTTAATTGAGGCGAGGGTGAGTTAGATAATGAATGTGATAAAGAGACAGTTAGGAATAGAATTGTCACTGAATAATTAGATGAATCAATGAATGAATTGATTGATCGAAGAATGAATAAATGTGAGTAGCTAGTTGTATCATATATATTAACGAAAAGCAGTTATTGAATACTACTATCTCTATGTTTTTAAAGAACACTTTCTGATTTGGTTCTAATCTCCACTTGTCCAACAGGATTATTTAATACTGAAATATCTGGATCCAATTTAGTGACGGTTAACAACGCCATATTTAAATCCTATGGAAGTAGACAAAAACAGAAAACAACCGGCTTAATGAAAGTACATTGGACAAACGAGCTGGTTTTATAAAACGATTGAGAGGGAAAAGAGTGGAACTTCATCGACAGGAATACAATTCAAACATAGATCATTGTATTAACTTGAGACATAAATATCAACTGGATCAATGAAATGTAAATCCTCTAGGGGATGTCCACGGACTTAGTAATTTTGCATGGATGATGACAAGCTTCGGTTATAGCAACAATGGTAATGGGAAACATCAGACATTGAGGTTATGGTTCGAAAAGACAGAATGAAAAGATGTGTATTTAAAAAACATTGGAATTGAAGACGTGGAGAAAGATCAAGATTAAATGCTTCTGTTTCATCGTGATCGATTCTGAGCCGCGTTACATGGAGTACTCGAATACTGAACTTCATGGACTGATAACACATTCTGATTTGGTTGTTTTATATTTCCCATGATTACACTATATTCGATGACTATGGCGATCAATTATCTTTGCCACTGAAGAATTGCTAACATTTAGGGGGCCACTTTGTTAATAATGCCGGTGCTCATATATGTGTTAAAAATGTCATTTCAGCTACTTCCCGATAATTCTTTAATTTCTGACGCTGGGACTGTTTAGAAAAGGCAGAGATGATCAGCTTATGAAGTAGTGCCAAGGTATGAACGAAAACTGTATAAGACTGGTATCCGTTGGTTTATCTTCAATTCCTGATTAATATCAGATATGACTCAAAACAGAAGTTAGTGATGGTCTGTTGTAATTTTCTTTGATATCATTCATAAAAGGGGAACTCCCTGAACTAATTTGTTTCTCTTATTATATAACACTCTCATCTACCTATTTTTATTCATTTATTTGCTCAAGATTATACTCCCTCTGTTCTTTCTCTATCTCATCACAATATCATTTGATTATTAATGTGAAGCATATTTATTTTGGTGCTTATCTTCATCAGTAATTATGTTTTAAATAAATAAAATAAAGAAATTAAACGATTGTGTCCATATCACCAGATAATTTCGGTTAGTAGATTACAAACAACATTCGAGACCAAACCAACAAAAGTCATTACACAAAGTTTCTACACTGTTCACATCAATAATAGTCAATGACCTGAAGAAATGATATAATGTTTGGTGTTGACCATCTCTCGTAGCTTTCTCCACCTAATCTACACTTCTATATTATCCAGAAGTATTTTATAATGGTCAAAGAATGCAGTGACAAGATAGGAGAATACACATAACACATACAAGCGATAGCGAGAAAATCGACAACAAATTTACTACTAGCTGAGGAATTAAGTTTCCGTTTATTTATTCATATTTTTTGCATAACCCAATAGACAAAGGATAATCCAGTAGTATAAATACATCAATGCATTATCATGATGTAATATAGTAATAAATTACTCAGCAATAAAAACATACACACATATATATGTACACACCGATATATATGTAAATATATTTAACATAGAAACACGGTTAACTGGTGAAGATCACGCGTACGTAGAATGAATAAATAGTAGGAAAAGAGGGGCAGGAATTTGTGGAGCCTGTTAAATGTACATCGTTCCCGTCATCGACTGGCTTTCACAAACATATCTTCACTAGTGACTGACTTCAAGATGCAGTTTCTGGATATTTCTAATGAGAAGCTGTGATCAAAAGTGGAATTCAACCACACCATCTGAGACAGTTATCTATCTTGGGCAATGGGAGATGACTGCGCAGTACCGTGAATTTATTGAATTTAGGCATACACACCATTGAATGTCGGCTCAGTGCTCGCAGCGAAACCTATAAGTCGTGGATTTGATTCCCTATGGGGTTGTAGATCCACACAGCTAAGACAAAACAATTATTACATGCTTCGTGGTTTTCAATGGTTGTCTAGCTAATATCAAGTCCGTGATGTAAACCATATAAAAATAAATAGTAGTTGATATACATCAGTATGTGTGTATCAATCTATTGTTAACCAGTACGAAATGAGAATATACAAAAAAGATGAAACACAACGCATGCACCTACTGCTTATTTGATTACATGAAAATAGATATTTGCCGGAGAAGGTGCAGTCAGGTGTTGGATAACCGACTAACAAACACGAAAACATTATTTGACCATATAAATATTTGCAAAACCTTGAAACTATGTAACATACTTTTTTTATTTCAAGAGTTTGTTAAATACAGATATCTCACCGAATGATTGTTTAAATTAAAAGAAATGAAATTTATATTACAGTGACAAAGTATATACACACATACGCACTGTGTTGTTATTACTGTTTTATGGAAATAAAAATAAATAGAGAAAAAACCAGTTAAGATTTTTCTTTCCAATTTTTTATATTTAAATTAACAACTCACTTCATCAAAATCATTACTAGATATAGAATGTCCATTAGTCTGTTAAGGATAAAAACAGAACAGTTAATAGAAAAAAAGTAATTACAATATGGAAATAAAATTATATATGTAGTGAGGTAAAGAAACTCTGGATAGTGATAACACAATTCTTAAACTATGAAGTATTACGATTGTCGGGAAGAGCTTGTAATTACCCTGTCGTTGATATTCAAGACTAAAGTTTGGACAGTCTTTGTTGGTGTATATGTGTATTCTGTATGGATTCCCTTCGAGGCCTAATATGTACCAAGAATAGTATGTAGGTATCATTCAAGGAATGAGTCATAGATGGCACGAAGTGTGTGTTCTCAATTCCGCTGCTAGTCACAATTCATCTATTCTGTTAGAAAAATCTTGTAATAAAATAGTAATATCGGGGTATTTCGTATGTAATGTACATATGTCAACAAAGAGAGAACAAAATTTATTCTTAAATGTCTGTAATGAAATAGTTCAAAACCTTACCAATAATGATAGGAATACCATAAGCGTTATACAAGTTAGCGTCTATCTGGACCAAGATTTTAAGTGAATAACGGTGTTTAAAGTGAAATGTAGGGAATTTGAGTCTTATTTTGAACATCAACAGTGAAAAGGAGGTAGACCTAGTTGACGAGTATCAAATAAGAACTAGAACGAGCAGCGATTTACATTTCTAACCCATGAACTATTTACACTGAAAAACATTTAAAAAACCATGTTTGGGGGTATTGATTAGCAATGAATGTCAAGATGAGTATTCTATTCTATTTGGGACTTGTCAGCTGGAGGCATAACTCCATTTCAGTATTCGTAGGTTTGGAATAAAACTTGAACACAGTAATTAAATCAATGAAGAGAAATGCACTTCTTCGATCATATTGCCAGCTAATAATATCCAAAACCTAAACAACTTATATGTTAAGACAACCGATCACAACTAAAATATAATATACCGATAGAGAAAATATGAATATTCCAGTTAAAAACTACGCAAAACATCCCCACATCTCGATAGAAACATAGAACCTTAGAAACTAATTATATTTTCCAAACCAAATCCACGGAATTTATAAATACACTCAGATCTGAATGCATTTATCATTAAATTGGTAGTTTGAAATTTATTCAGAATCTCACCTAGCATTATCTACAACTACCTATTACTTGTTTTTATTAATTAACAAGAAGGAAATCCGGTAATAATTACATGTTTATAGAGAAAATTACACTCGTGTAATCAGTTGTTCAATTATCAATTTATTTCTTTTATACACCTCAATCACATGGAATAGATTGTTGTGAAATTTTACAACACTGTTATACAATCGATTTGAAATAATCTAGAGAACGGGGTAAGATCAAGCCACCCTAACTTTGTTGAAACTAACAGAATCGATTCGACAGGAACAGATTGCTCTACCTCAAAACAGACATATTCAACTAGACTACTACTATCAGATTCTCCTTGTTCATCAATGATGCTGTCTAGATACGTGAAAGATTCCACTTGTTACAGAGCTTCCCCATCAAGTGTGATTGGTTTGGTGCTTCTTGTGTTTTATTTGAGAATCTTGTTTTCTCCCTTGTGTATGTTTAGCCCTACTGCTGCTACACTGGCTGTCTTCACCTGCATTTGGATTTAGACAATTTGAATAACAATAATTATATATTGAAAATTGTAGAGCCTCTCACAGATGTTGGTGAATTTATGACAAAACAACTGTTCGCTCAAACATTCCTTGTTTTTAAATAGTTTAAGCAAGTTTTGACAACTATGACTACTGAACACTTGTAATCGTTAAAATATTGAACAACGATCAACAGTGTTTTTAGATATATCAATCAGTCGAACACAACGTACAACCTTGTATGTGTGTACATCGGTTCAGGTTGCTATACTTCATTAGCACAACGAAAAGAAATTCCCAGTGATAGAGGTAGTAACAGAACTAGTGATAACGGAAAAAATTAGGTATCGAAAATATAAGTCGACAAAGTAAAAAATATGAGGAATTAAGGAAATTAAGATCTAAAGGGTGGGTAGGATCTGTTTGTGACAAACTATAAAATTTCTACTATTATTTTACTGATTGTTTCCGTTGTAGAAGAAGCTCGGAGTTAGAATTATATGAATATAAATTGCTCAGATTATTCGAAACATAATTCTGTGTAAATAATATCCTTTATAAACTTGGTGCCTAATTTCTATCAAAAACTATTCCATCAAATTTCAACGAATGTTCCATACTAATTGGTCTAATTTTGATAGTTTCATTGTTCACTAAAGAACTGGATTGATAACCAGCAGTGGTCCGACCAGTGTAAATAGTCACCATAGTTATTATTATTATTCAGAGTATAAAATAAAAACGTACAAATTAAACATTGATTAATATACTTCGAAATTCGATGGGAACTGTATATTATTAATCTTGGTATTTTACTTATAGGAAATTTGTTATTCTACAACACCAGTAGTTAAAGTTTACATGGGGAGAGATATTTTCTACTTATTTGCCAAGATCGTGTTGTTGTTGTTATTATTATGCATAAATTTTGGCAAATTATTCAAATGTGTGGTTAAACGGTTGACCTTAGACTAATTGACCCACCAGACCATTTTAACGCTCATTAATGTAACACTAATAACTAATTTCGACTAGTTCCATGCATTACCTATAATTAGGATGGAGGTTTGTTGCGCAATCACCTTAGTAATGGTGCATATATGTATATAGGAAATCCCACCAAAGAGTGTTTCAAGATTGGCTTTAGTCGCAAATTCATTGTATACAATAATATGAGCCATAGGAAAACATAGTACTGTCTAGTACTATATCAAGTCCACATGAATTCTTCTAGCTTCCAGACAGACCGACCGACATATTTATCCTCCCTGAGCAATATTTTGACCTAGTCAATTATTCGCTCATGACCTTGATTGTTTTAATATGAACGTATGTATATGTATCACTAATCCTATCCGGCACGTCCTAAGATTGTTTTGTCTGGCTACAATTATTGATATCAGAAGGGGTCTTTTGTGGATATTATAGTAATCTTAATAATTGAGATCATGAGTCACTGCTGAGGAGTCCCACAACAGGATGAAACGGCCGTCCAGTGCTTCCAGGTTTTCTATGGTGGTCTAGCTTCAATTGACTCATGATCTGAACTATTAAAATTAGTATAAATATTGAGTCACTTCACTTATTTTATTCCGTTATCTACTAACTCAAAATAAGTCGATAGTTGGATACGACAGTAGCTGGGATATTTCGTTATCAACACTCGAACAAATTGGAAGTCAGATCAACAGACTACTGAACCATAAATCCTCTAACAAATAACAACGGATATTACATACATTGTGATTAATATAAAAAGCTTTTGCATGATTAAAAAAACGAGAATAAAAATTGTCACTCACAAACTGTTCATTAAGTTCTTTACACGATTACTATGTTTATTCAGTTAAAAAAATCAAAAGACAAATAAGAACTTACATGAACAATCTGACCTGCAGTACTTGCAATAATACGTTCACTAACAGTTTTTGTAGTAGTCACTTCAGAACGTTTAACAGTACGTTTGATCATTTTACCATTTTCATCATGAAATGTTTCTGTTTCAATTTGCGGTTCACTTCTTTCAATCGACTAAACAACAAATAATAGCAAATATTATGCAATGTATGCAAAAATTATTATTTTACACATTTAGTAATTGAATTCTGTTTTGTTAATAATTTAGATGAATCAATTCACTTACGCCTGTTACTATTTATAGAGGAGAATAGGTCGCCTACCAACATTTTCCATCGAACTCTGTCCTGAGTGATCCTTTCCAGTTGCTGTTCATTTTTTCTATATCTGCTTTCAAATCCCAACTCAAAGTGCTCCTTGGTCTTCTATTCCTCATTTTACCTTCGGGATTCCAAGTTGTGATGTAGTTTGATGATTTCCGTAATGTATATCCTATCTACCTCCAGCGTCTTTTCCCGATTTTCTCTCCGGCTGTAAGCTGATTTCTTTTCTCTCACAGTAGGCTGTTGTTGATAGTATATCAGTCAGTCAGTAACAACGTAGAACTTCGTACGTACGTACATCAGTTCGAGTTGCCACACCACATTAGCACAGAGATGCAGTTGTCGATTCAGATCCCGTAGTGGTAGAGGTAGTAAGAGTATAAGCAGTAATCGGGAAGATTAGGGTTTGGAGATGTTATTTAAAGAGTATAATCCAGTGAAATAAATTTGGAAAGAGGAAAAAAGAGACAAGAAGAATTCAGAAGATTAGAATTTGGGATAACACAGAGAGTGGATGCACCTGAGTCATTGCAAACGATTTTGAGCCATGTCATTCAGGGTCTCTAACCATCGGTCTCTATCATCTCGCGGTCCCCAACCAGGTAGTCTACACCTACTAACATGACTCAGTCCACTTGTCAGTGACTTCATGGACTTGTGCCACGTTTTGGTCAGGCCGCCCCTAGCTTGCTTCCAACCTACTCCTATACCACTGAACATAGCACGTCGAGGCAGTCGGTCGTTGGGCATACGTAACACGTGTCCCAGCCATCTCAACTGATGAAGTTTCACTACTTCATCAATCGATTCGCCATCCTTACCTAGTACCCGTTTCCTGACAACTACATTAATTACTCGATGGTCCCAGGATATACGAGCAATGTTTCGAAGACACCTATGATCGAATACTAGTAACCTACGAGTATCCTCTACTCTTACCGGCCATGTTTCACTGCCATAAAGTAGGACGGGACGAACTGCTGCGCAGCAAACACGTCCTTTGGTTGATAGACGGATATCTCGCCTACGCCATAAATGACGCAAGTTGGCAAAAGCTAGTCGAGCCTTCTGTATCCGTGCTGAGATTTCGTCACACACCAGACCACAAGGGCTGATGAGACTTCCAAGATAAGTGAAGCGGTCGACACACTCAACTACTTCACTCCCTATCACTAGTTCGGGTGTCGATGTAACCCAATCCTGAAGCAACATTTTGCATTTTGATGGAGAGAATCGCATCCCGAACATGTTTGCATTGCTGCTTAGAGTGGTCAGAAGACTCTGCATTTTGTCAGCGTCTTCACCAAACAGAACTATGTCATCGGCATATTCTAAGTCAACAAGTGAACCTCCCGGTAGAAGTTCAACCCCTGGAAATTTAGATGGGGAAAGTGTTATCCCTAAAAGTACATCTACGATAAAGTTAAACAAGAATGGAGAGAGTGGGCAGCCCTGACGAACACTACTTGAGGTAATCAATTCTGATGACAGTTCGCCATAAGCTCTAACTCGACCAGTTGTGTTTGAGTAGAGAGCCTTTATAAGGTTAATGTACTTCTTTGGTACTCTTTTCAGTGACAAACGCTGCCACAGAACCTCACGATCAACAGAGTCAAATGCCGCCTTAAGGTCGAGAAATACTACCATTGTGGGGCGTCTGAATGTGTGTCTATGTCCTAGGACCTGACGTAATGTGAATATCTGATCTATACAACCACATCCAGGTCGAAAATCGGCCTGGTCTTCTTTAGTCTGCTCTTTACGAGCTATTATTGAAGCTAATATTTTAGACACTATATTAGTCAAACTGATTCCTCTGTGATTGTCACAAGAGAACTTTTGTCCCTTCTTACAGACTGGCACAATCAGTGATTGAAACCAATCAGATGGGATTACGTCCAGTTCCCAAATTCTATCTAAGACCTCGGTTAATCTCATTGCTATTACTGGACCACTATCCTTAAAAATCTCAGGAGTAAACTTGTCAGGACCTGCTGCTCTCCCTCGTTTCAGATTTCCTATGGCTTTTTCAACTTCGTAAAGGGACGGAGGACTTACATTAACTTGCCATTCAGGTTGACTAGAGATCGTGGGAAACCGAAGTGTGGCTGAAGGCCAGTTGAACTGATCCCTAAAGTGTTCTGCCCATCGGTCCAATCTCCTGGGTTGAGAATGTATAATATGTCCATCTTTCTCTGAGATAGTTTCGCTAACGGTCGGGTTCCTAATTCCGGTTTCCTTAACGAGTCTGAACAATTGTCTGCTATTACCTATTGCCGCTGCCTTTTCCATCTCTCTTGCTTTCGCTACCCACCACTGTTCGCAATCATTGCGTAGACTTCTTGTCAGCTTGCGCTTAAGCTGACTCCGCTCTTCATTATGTTCAGAGCCAGGTGGAATGAGTTTCCGAGCATTTATCAGTGAGATAGATGCTGCTGAGATCTAGTGGTGCTCCCTAACCTTCTGGTTTACCGTACTAGCAGATATCACTGCTGTTTCCACAGCTTTTCGGATATCATTCCATGCTGCATCGGGGTGGGCATCACATACATGGCTGCCTAACTGTTTTCCTAGTTGTTCCCCAAATATACTCTTAGCTTGAATATCATTAAGTTGGACCCTAAGAGGTTTCCTTGCAGCGTCTTTCCTACGTCCAGTAAGACGCAAGCAAATACGCGCTCGCACTAGAGCATGATCTGAATCTAGGCATGTGTTCCAGAATGAGCGACAGTCTTCTATCGAGCCCCTCCATCGGTGGCTGATAGCGATGTGATCTATTTGGGTCCAATGTTGGGACGAATTAGGGGGTCGCCATGTTAAAAGATGTTTTTCCTTATGCTTAAAGTTAGTATTTGCAAGGAACAGGCGGTTATCTGAGCATAGCTGCAACAGACGGTCGCCATTATCTGTTCTTTGAGCCACGACACCACAAGATCCACCTAAGTGTCTTTCCCTATCGCTTAGTTTACCTACTTGAGCATTAAAGTCACTAGTCGTCAGAGCGCCTAGCTTTCGGGAGGTCGGAAAGCTTTCTGTAAAACTCATCTTTTGCATCATCTGAGCTACAGTCAGTGGCAGAATAGGCGGAGACGTCAAAGAGGCAATGACGAGTGTCCCTATCCTTCTGAGTCCTTACTGTTCCGTTCAGTCGGACAGCGCACAAACGACTGTCTACTGGGATTCATTCTAAGAGAGCTAGTTCTGCCCTAGGACTCAATACTATACCTACGCCGCGAGAAGCAGAATCAGGGCTTCCAGATACACGAAGCGTAAATCGAGTCGGTTCTTTATTTTGACATGGTGAGGTCAAATGAATGACGCTACTTGGATCCTGTATGCGCGTTTCGGAGATGCAGCACACATCGATGGCGCGAGATTCTAAAGTTTTAGCTAAGGAATCCTGCTGTCCTATTTGGCACAGTGTTCGTACGTTAAAAGCTCCTACGTGTAGTTTAGAGCGTGGCTTTAGGAGACCAGGAATAGCGTTCCACGTACTCGAATCGTTTGCCCTAGCGGTGCGAGGTGAAAAAGAGACGTGAGGAGGGTTAGTCGGGGAGATAAGAGAGTTATTAGGAGGTGTAGGAAGGATTTGAGTGTGACTACCTTGGTCTCTTGTGCTGTTACGGGTATGAGGGCTGATGTCACTTCCCGGCTGCCCACACCGTGGAAGGGTATTTCTTGAGGAACCTGAAAAGGAAATTGGATTAGTGTTGGTCTCAAAGACCTGGGAGCGTGACCGCAGAGCCCAAGGGACAACTGCTTGAGGCTGGTCGCGCACGGCCTTTTTGTGGAAGGTTTTTGACGTGTTAGCTCCGTTCTTCAAAGGGCCTTACCGCCGGAGACGGAAATCCGTGAGGTAAGGTGAGGTGTGACAATTTTATGGCCGACCTTTTCTAACCCCACCCCTCCTTGTGGGAAGGCAGCATCGCTGTCATGCTGGTTGTCCGAGGGAAACACCTTACTGCTGTCACACCTCTCTACAGTCAGCAGTACGACTTCGCCCTCAAACCTTGAGTTGCTGCTTTTAGTCTTACCGTTCACTAATCGACCTGCCTGGCATGGTAGAACCTGCAGGAACATATGTCCCAGCCAATATAGCTCGGTTGGGTTATCACGATAGGCGAGCCCGACCACCGCGTCAAGGTAGCAGCTTCGATCGGGGCTGATAGTATATGGACAACGGATATTGAGTATCTTACGTAGACAATTGTTTAGAAATACTTGTACATTTTTGATGATGGTTGTGGTAGTTCTCCAACTTTCCTCTCCGCACAGCAGGACTGTCTTGACGTTCGTATTGAAAATCCTCACTTTAATATTGGTTGACCGTTGTTTTGAGTTCCATATGTCCTTAAACTTCAGAAATACTGTTCATGCATTGCTAATCCTCTCCTTTACGTTTGCATAAGATTCTCCTTGTTCATCAATGATGCTGTCCAGATACGTGAAAGATTCCACTTGTTACAGAGCTTCCCCATCAAGTGTGATTGGTTTGGTGCTTCTTGTGTTTTATTTGAGAATCTTGTTTTCTCCCTTGTGTATGTTTAGCCCTACTGCTGCTGTCTATAAATGCTCTATCAACGATCATCTTAATGATGTCAGAAGCTATAAATTCATTGTGTTTATTATGATAGTGATTTACAATAGGATATTAGCAATAGGGAATTATACATCCCTATGAATACTCATTAAACAAGTTAGTGGCTATTGAGTATCTATAGTAATTATTTACTAAGTGAATAAAGATCTAATGTTCAATGATGAGTGTAATGAGTCCTAAATACGAGTATGCTTATAGAAATTGAAATGCAAAAGTAGAATCAACTGATAAGTTCCACATGCAGTGAAATA